CTGCTCCCCGAAACTCTCCAAGAGCCAGAATTGAGATTAGCCCGGAAAAAATACCGGAAAAACTTTCTCCATTCCGGGTCTGCAAATGAGTTACCGAGGATAAAAATCAGGCGTTTTTACCGGAAATATTCAGAGAAAATCTCTCCAAACTTCTCCGTGCTAGGCCTGGGAATAAATTTTCTGGGAGTTCTGAGAGATTGCATCATGCTCCAATGAGTCCCCACATGGCACATGTGTGGGTGCCCTAGCTGCTTGGAACCCTTTATTTATATTCTGCTGCCATTGTAGAAGGTTTTTCCTCTCTAGCTGCTGTTTTTGTTTACAATTTGTGTTGTACAGCACTGTACATTACTGCACCAGGGCACAATTCGCCCAAAATACAGAGTTAAAGCAGCATTAAGACGTCTAAAGTTATTACAGTTACCTATACTGAACATAAGCAAGTGGGAACCACTGGAGCACCTTAGCTAAAATCTTTATTCAAGACATCTTCAGTTCATGAGACCCACTAATTCTCCACTCCAAAAATGGGTGACCTGACAATGCATCAGGTCAGTAACATGAGACCCACTAATCCCTCACCCTACCTCCAGTACTAATGAGAGAAGAGTTTATATACAATGGGTAACCTAACATTGCCTCAAGTCAGGTCAGTAACATGAGACCCACTAATCCCTCACCCTACCTCCAGTACTAATGAGAGAAGAGTTTATATACAATGGGTAACCTAACATTGCCTCAAGTCAGGTCAGTAACATGAGACCCACTAATCCCTCACCCTACCTCCAGTACTAATGAGAGACGAGTTTATATACAATGGGTAACCTAACATTGCCTCAAGTCAGGTCAGTAACATGAGACCCACTAATCCCTCACCCTACCTCCAGTACTAATGAGAGACGAGTTTATATACAATGGGTAACCTAACATTGCCTCAAGTCAGGTCAGTAACATGAGACCCACTAATCCCTCACCCTACCTCCAGTACTAATGAGAGAAGAGTTTATATACAATGGGTAACCTAACATTGCCTCAAGTCAGGTCAGTAATATGAGACCCACTAATCCCCCACCCTACCTCCATCAAAAGTGTTGAAACATGATTAGTGATTACAGTTACTTATTACATTCAGCAGAGTGGACAGTGTATGCCTGCTATAGGCTTGAGACAACAGCATCTGCTGATGAGTACAGTACAGTTTTTAAAATATATTTATCTAGCCAAAGTTTTAGATAAACTAATCAGGATCATTTTATAAAAATGGTGTTTCTACCTTAATTAGAACTACTTTTATAGACTCTGGTATCAACTTTTCTTACTTTTTTCATAAAAGAATTGAGTCCCCATCATTATATTGTGTCAAAATATTTTGTTGAAGGATCTTTTATTTAAACAGTCTTGTAAAAAATTTATCCAAAATCATTATGGTACCAAATTCATCTATCTTAACACTATTAGAACAGATGCTGTGAATAAAAGTTTATACACTTTTTAGTTAGCTGTAAATATTTTTGCTCGTGTCCGCTGTCCATAAGTAACGGGAGAGGGTCTGTCCGTGGCGGATGAGGCGATGAGATGGATGCGTAGTTTAGAGTCGAGATGAGATGCGTACTTTAGACTCTCTTAGACTCGCAGAAACTTTTCCCAGTATTGCACCCGGAAAATTCCAGGGAAGTGGAACTTTTCCGGGTTTCAGAGAGGCGTCTCACAAGCCGGAAATCTCTTATCCCCTGAAGAGCTCTGCACTGTTCTGGCTAATGGGGATATCACTGTACTCAGGTTGAAACTCTCTAGTCAGACCACAGAAATTGCCTCCCTACCTCTCACACGACTGTTAAATGTTAAGTAACCACAGTATTTGTGAAAAAGTCATTTAATGTGCTAATGTGCCTTATGAATAAAGATAATTTGATTATTCGCAGATGACACCCCAGCATGTACCCAAGAATGTCAGCGAGGGCACTCCCACTCAGCCTCAGTCACGGACACGCACTCACCCAGCCCATGCTTGTGCTCCTCTACTTTATTTACAACTGCTCCTTATGCTTCTCTGTGCACTTGTGACGGCTCCCAGGAAGGTGCTCAAACAAGCAAAGAGAGAAAAGAAGGTCATGACCCTCGTGGAGAAGATACAACTGCTGGACAAACTTAGGAGTGGCCAAAGCTTTGCCGCGTGTGGCCGGGAGTACGGCATCAATGAATCAACTGTCCGCTACATCAAGAAGAAAGAGAAGCAGATTCGTAATGCCATTGCCTTAAGTGCCCCCTCTTCTGCCAAGGTCGCCGCTAATGTGAAGGATACAGCCATGGTGAAGATGGAGAAAGCTCTTAACATCTGGATTGAGGACTTTAACTGCCGCCACATCCCTCTCAGCCAGAAGTTTATCCATGACAAAGCCAAGGTCCTGTATGACCTATTTCATGCTCAGGAAGGTAGTGAAGGGGAAGTCAATGGTAAAGGTGGTGGTAGTGCTGGTGGTTCTGGTGATAGCACAAAGAAAGGTTTTAATGCCAGTAAGGGGTGGTTTGAAAACTTCAAGAAGCATTACAACCTGCACAACTTGAGGATCACTGGTGAGCCAGCCTCGCCTGACGATGTAGCAGCTAAGGAGTAGCCTGCAATCTTTGCCGAGTTTATACGGGAGAAGGGCTACAAGCCGGAGCAGGTTTTTAATGCTGACGAGACTGGCTTGTGGTGGAAGATGATGTCAGCCAGGACGTTCATTTCCAGGGAAGAAAGGAGTGCACCGGGCCTCAAGGTGGCCAAAGATCGTGTGTCTTTCCTGCTATGTGGCAATGCTGCAGGACACATGATCAAGCCCATGCTGCTGTACTGTGCCAAGTGTCCACATGCACTCAAGAACAAAAACATGCACCCCCTCCCAGTCTTCTACCGCCACAGCAAAAAAGCTTGGATGATGGCAGTGTTGTTCACCGACTGATTTCACAATTGTTTTATGAGGAAGGTCAAGGATTACCTGCAGGAGAAAGGCCTGGAGTTTAAGGTTCTTCCTGAGATAGTCAACTGCCCTGGCCACCCTGAGGCCCTCAAAGTTGCAAACAAAAATGTCAAGGTGATCTTTCTGCTCAAGAACACAAAATCATTGCTCCAACAACTCAACAAGGGAGTCATTGCTATTTTCAAGGCCAAGTACTTGACCCACACCTTCAGCAGGATACGGCAGGCCTTGGATGAGGACGCACGGGATGGTGCCGAGTCAGTGAAGGATATGTGAAAGAAGTTCTCCATCGCAGACTGCATCTCCTTTATCAAGCAGTGCCATGATGACCTGACAGCCCTCTGGGTTAAGTCCTGCTGGAGGGCCCTGTGGCCAGAGGTGGTGAACGACTTCGCTGGCTTCCCCACAGTTGACTAGGATGTACAGCACATCGTCCAGGTTGCAAGAGGCGCTCCTGGATCATGCTGGGGAAGAGCTGGCCGACCTTGTCGAGGAGCAGCGTCACAAGGACGAGGAGGAAGAAAATGAAGGTGAAGTGGAGGTGGTGGCCACCTTAACCCTCATGAGCATCAGCAGGTGCTTGCTGGCTAGTAGGGCACTTGTGGACTTGTTTTTCAAGACCAATCCCTCTATCGAGAGATCAGTCAACTTCAAAAGGGGGATAGAGAAGCTCCTGCTTCCTTATAAAGAAATAATGAAGGAACTCAAGCAACTGGTTACCCAGCCTCCAATCACCATGTTCTTCCTGCCTTCGTCCACTCCACCTACACCTTCTACATCTGCATGACAGCCTCAGCCGCCTGATCGTGCTCTTCCTTCTGACTCTGACTCCGACATGGACAACCCTCCTCCTGCTGCTCCCACCTCTGACCTTCCTCTGCTCTCCCCTGCCTCCTCTTCCAAGGCAGACGAGGAGCACTTGTAACTCCCCTGTCTTCATCAGTGGCAGGGGAGAGAGGAATGGGCTCTACGCAAACAACCAGCATGGAAAGGTGGGTGTTACCCTATGTGCATGAGCCTGTGCTTAAAATAATGGTATTCGTGGATTTGGGAATTCGTAGGCATTTTGAGACCCGCACCCCTGCAAATTTTAAGGGCATGCTGTAAAGAATATATAATCTAAAACTATAAAATAAGAAAAATGAAGAGCATGGGTGTGTATGTGTGAGATGTAAACGTTTGTGTGTGAAGGCTGTGAATTGTAACTGTGTCGCCAACTCACCATTCCATGAACACTCCTTCCCTCCCCCAATGTCACTCAGCTGGGTGATTGCCCAGATGAGTGGCTGAATTGTGCCACGTTGCCCAGAGGATGGAGTGTGGAAGGAGCCATTCTTTTTACACAAAATAATATATACTGTTCTGTACCAGTAAATGTGAAGAATAAATAAAAATAATACCAATAAATAAAAAAAAGGAAATAATACTGCATTGCTATTTGGCAATCATTACACGTGGGGCAGTGAACAGCCGAGAGCCACCACGCCGCTCCACCCTCCCCCGACCTGCACGCTAACTCCAACACATGTAACAAATGTTTAATCCCTCTATGGTTTTTACCTTATGATAATTCTTTTCTTTGCACAGTCTGTATGAAGGCTTGTGTGTGTGTGCTTATTATACCAGTAAAAAAACAACAAAGAAAATTACATTTACCTTCCCAAAATTACGAGTTGTAAAATAACCATAACATAACTGTGACATCATTCTCTCCTTCACACTGGTTCTGTCAACATCTCCCAGGAGTTCACGCTGGTAAAGCTTTTCTCTACTGGTGAATTTTACAGCAATCATGGCCCTTAAGAGTATTGGCAGTGCCTGTAATGCTAGCCCCCAAATCTCCTGGTCTCTTGGAAGACATATTGTAGGGCTAAAATATTTAAATATTATATATTTATTTGTTTCCTGTTGACAGTAAACCCTCCAGAGCTGTAGCATTGGTGCCATTAAATCACTCCCACACTGACACTTCTCAACAAGAGAAAAATCTTAACGTTACATTAAACTAAAAAGTAACATGAGAAAGCAACCATTGTTTACCATACTGGCGATCCATTCCCGGCCGTAGAGGTAACCCTCGTCAAGTGCAGAGTTGACCACGTCACCAAGACCCTCTGGCAGTAGCTCCAGAAACTGAGGGTTGTTCACGACTGTTGAGTTGATCACCTGACTCCCCAGTGTTACCAAGGCCATGCTCTCCCCCTGGATCTGTAACATGACAATAACATAAGCTTGTGGAGATTGTATCATAATAGCGAAGTATTGACTTATTGTCAAGAGTCAATAATGAGGGTGTTAATGAGACTATTTAATGTTCCAACAATTGTCATCTATTGATTAAGTAAAAGGTGGTGAGGACTGCCAAGAGTCACCACACTGGACTGTCTTAATGCTTCAACTCCTTCATTAGAGCTCTGGTGTTGTGTCAACCACCCAAAAACAGTCAGTCAGATTGTGGACAGTATGGATGCTGGCTGTGGGTCTCACCTCCTCCTCCAAAGTGATAAGAACATTGTTATTTGTATTGTGTGAACTGTCTTCACTCATAAGTGTTCGGGCTCCGGTTAGGTTAAGTACTGCATATAGTAAGTGATTTACGTATAGGTTTAATAGTATTGTTTTTGTCAACAGATAAATTCTCTAACTGAGCAATCTTTCTATTTAATTATTTTGTCATCATTGTTTCTTGTATGCATTATAAATAGTTTATATTAATCATATTGTTATTTAATTGATGGTTTTGCTTCACCATTATCTGTAATTAACCAGACTTTCAAAACGTTACGTGGTAAACAATTAATTAGTCAAAAACCCAACACAAGGAAGAGTTAATGTAACAGAAGTCATTGAAAGGAATAAGTGAACTTTAAGCTTCAATTCTTTAGATAAGTATGACATAGAGTCACTCCTGTACAGAACAGTAACATGTACACAATGTATTATTTACAGATATCACTCACCAAACCTGATTGTCTTTAACACTAAATAATCATACAAGATGGTCGTTTATTACTTACTTAACTTCACCTCTTTAAAAGGAGAGGAAAAAAAACTTTACCACACAACAGTTAAAGATATCAACTTAAAACCCACCCACCCACCCACCCACCCACCCACTACAGCACCACTAAATAAAACTGACCTGTACAGCCAAGAAGAGAGAGGCGGTGACAGCGAAGAAGATGACAGCTAATATTAGGAGCAGCGTGACAATGGCGTCGACACCCGCTGACAGACCTAACACCAGGTGACGGTCGCTCCTCACCAGTAACTGTCGACAATAACAATAGAAGTTAATACACCAAAAATGTCTCAGAAGCTGTTGAATAGAGAGATAGATGGATAGACATTGATAGAGAGATAGATGGATAGACATTGAATAGAGAGATTGATGGATAGACATTGAATAGAGAGATTGATGGATAGACATTGAATAGAGAGATAGATGGATAGACATTGATAGAGATATATGGATAGACATTGATAGAGATAGATGGATAGACATTGATAGAGATAGATGGACAGATAGACATTGATAGAGATAGATGGATAGACATTGATAGAGATAGATGGACAAATAGACATTGATAGAGATAGATGGATAGACATTGATAGAGATAGATGGATAGACATTGATAGAGATAGATGGATAGACATTGATAGAGATAGATGGACAGATAGACATTGATAGAGATAGATGGATAGACATTGATAGAGATAGATGGACAGATAGACATTGATAGAGATAGATGGATAGACATTGATAGAGATATAGATGGACAGATAGACATTGATAGAGAGATAGATGGATAGACATTGATAGAGATAGATAGATGGATAGATAGACATTGATAGAGAGATAGATGGATAGACATTGATAGATAGGTGGATAGACATTGATAGATAGATAGGTGGATAGATAGACATTGATAGAGAGATAGATGGACAGATAGACATTGATAGATAGATGGACAGATAGACATTGATAGAGATAGATGGACAGATAGACATTGATAGAGATAGATGGATAGACATTGATAGAGATAGATGGATAGACATTGATAGAGATAGATGGACAGATAGACATTGATAGACATTGAATAGATAGGTTGATAGATAGATGGATAGACATTGATAGAGAGATAGATAGGACAGATAGACATTGATAGATAGATGGACAGATAGACATTGATAGAGAGATAGATGGATAGACATTGATAGATAGGTGGATAGACATTAATAGATAGGTGGATAGATAGACATTGATAGAGAGATAGATGGACAGATAGACATTGATAGAGAGATAGATGGACAGATAGACATTGATAGATAGATGGATGGACAGATAGACATTGATAGAGAGATAGGTGGATAGATAGACATTGAGAGATAGATGGATAGACATTGATAGAGATAGATGGATAGATGGACATTGATAGAGATAGGTGGATAGATAGACATTGATAGAGATAGATGGATAGACATTGATAGAGATAGATGGATAGACATTGATAGAAAGATAGGTGGATAGATAGACATTGATAGAGATATAGGTGGATAGACAGACATTGAAAGAGAGATAGATGGATAGACATTGATAGAGAGTTAGATGGATAGACAGACATTGAAAGAGATAGATGGATAGACAGACATTGAAAGAGATAGATGGATAGACAGTGATAGAGAGTTAGATGGATAGATAGAGATTGATAGAGCGATAAGTGGATAGATAGACATTGATAGAGAGATAGATGGATAGATAGACATTGATAGAGAGATAGATGGACAGATAGACATTGATAGAGAGATAGATGGATAGACATTCATAGAGATAGATGGATAGACAGACAATGTGAGAGAGGTAGATGGACAGATAGACATTGATAGAGAGATAGATGGATAGATAGACATTGATAAGAGAGATAGATGGATAGATAGACATTGATAAGAGAGATAGATGGATAGATAGACATTGAGAGATAGATGGACAGATAGACATTGATGAGAGATAGATGGATAGACATTCATAGAGATAGATGGATAGACAGACAATGAAGAGGTAGATGGACAGATAGACATTGATGAGAGATAGATGGATAGATAGACATTGATAAGAGAGAGTGGATAGATGAACGATGAGAGATAGATGGATAGATAGACATTGAGAGATAGATGGATAGACAGACAATGTGAGAGAGGTAGATGGACAGATAGACATTGATGAGAGATATATGGACAGATAGACATTGATAAGAGATAGATGGAGAGGTGCATGATAAGAGAGGGAGGATAGATAGACATTGAGAGATAGATGGATAGACATTGATAGAGATAGATGGATAGATAGACATTGATAGAGAGATATATGGACAGATAGACATTGATAAGAGAGATAGATGGATAGATAGACATTGAGAGATAGATGGATAGACATTGATAGAGATAGATGGATCGATAGACATTGATAGAAAGATAGGTGGATAGATAGACATTGATAGAGATAGATGGATAGATAGACATTGATAGAAAGATAGGTGGATAGATAGACATTGATAGAAAGATAGATGGATAGATAGACATTGATAGAGATAGGTGGATAGATAGACATTGATAGAGAGATAGATGGATAGACAGACATTGAAAGAGATAGATGGATGAACAGTGATAGAGAGATAGGTGGATAGACAGACATTGAAAGAGAGATAGATGGATAGACAGACATTGAAAGAGATAGATGGATAGACAGTGATAGAGAGTTAGATGGATAGATAGAGATTGATAGAGCGATAAGTGGATAGATAGACATTGATAGAGATATAGGTGGATAGACAGACATTGAAAGAGAGATAGATGGATAGACATTGATAGAGAATTAGATGGATAGATAGACATTGATAGAGAGATAGATGGATAAATAGACATTGATAGAACGATAAGTGGATAGATAGACATTGATAGATATAGGTGGATAGATAGACATTGAAAGAGAGATAGATGGATAGACATTGATAGAGAGTTAGATGGATAGATAGACATTGATAGAGCGATAAGTGGATAGAGAGATAGATGGATAGACAGACATTGAAAGAGATAGATGGATAGACAGTGATAGAGAGTTAGATGGATAGATGAGCATTGATAGAGATAGATGGATAGATAGACATTGATAGAGAGATAGATGGATAGACATTGATAGAGAGATAGATGGACAGATAGACATTGATAGAGAGATAGATGGATAGACAGACATTGATAGAGATAGATGGATAGATAGACATTGATAGAGAGATAGATGGATAGACATTGATAGAGAGATAGATGGACATATAGACATTGATAGAGAGATAGATGGACAGATAGACATTGATAGAGATGGATAGACAGACATTGATAGAGAGATAGATGGATAGACATTGATAGAGAGATAGATGGATAGACAGACATTGATAGAGAGATAGATGGATAGACAGACATTGATAGAGAGATAGATGGACAGATAGACATTGATAGAGAGATGGATAGACAGACATTGATGAAGATAGATGGATAGACATTGATAGAGAGATAGATGGATAGACAGACATTGATAGAGAGATAGATGGATAGACAGACATTGTAGAGATAGATGGACAGATAGACATTGATAGAGATGAATGGACAGTAAACAGTGCAGCACATAACATAAACAGTGCTTCTACAGTACTGTAATTTGGTCATTTATACAAAATAAAACTAATTTTTAACCAAAATAATTGTTTTCTCCATGTATAAGTTAAGTCTGAGTATGTAAATGAAGACATAACTTATATCGCTCAGTAGTCAACCTGGTAAAACTTTAATACAGAGCACAAGAGTAAAATTAAAATACTTTAATGTGGCTTAGAAATAAAGAAAATATAATACAGTACAGGTTGTACCTCTCTAGTCCGGCAACCTCGGGACCTGACCAGTGCCGGACCATGGAAATGCGGACCATGGAAATTCACCCTTTTCCTGGATAGATAGTGACTTGTGCTTATGCTTGGAAGCACTAGCAACACTTTCTCTGCATCATGGTCTCTTTGAAGGGTTAAATGTCGTATAGTAGCTTCCAAATTGCGGTTTAATTCTTAACGTATTTTACTGGAACACACAAAAAAATAAATAAATACAAATTTTGGCCTGAAACTTGGATTTATTGGGTTTTGAACAACCACATATACGGGCGACGTGCATAATCGTGTAACAGCGTCATTTCTCTTATGTACAGATTCATTATTGTTTATTACTGAAAGTCTTTTTGATTGAATTAATGTTTTGTGCAAAATGAGCAATACAATTCATTAATAATACGTAGAATATTAAAACACACGAGGAAATGACACAGCATTGTTTTTGGATTGATTACAAAACCAGTGACTGAGTGGTTCTATATAAAACTGAAGAAAATAAGACCTGATTTTAGCTGTAGTAAAATTAATGTAAAAAATTAATATGGTTGTTTGAAGTACCTGTAATGTTATTTAATGTTAATAAATGGAACAATATAAGTAGCTAACCTAATGGTAAAAAAAGTGAGACTGCAGCGTATGTAAGTGTGCATGTGAAAACATATAGTCATTACTCACATAAGAATATAAGCAACACTTATTTACTGCTCATATATATTGAAGGGTTAAATGTTGTACTCTGTATAGACAAGCAGAGAGCAGCAGACTGCGGATGCAAACAATTAATTCCAGGGCTGTTTTTTTTTAAGGGATTAGCCCACGGGCAATAGTCATACCCACATTAGGGCCTAAGGGCAAAAATTTAATACTCCTGTAATAATAATAATAATTCAGATAAGTAAAAAAAAAAAAAAAAAAAAAAAGCTGCCTATCTATTGGACAAACTAAAATCGTTCCGGACCACGGGAGTTTCCGGACCACAGAATGCCGGACTAGAGAGGTACAACCTGTACTATAAAATATGAAAAATGAAGTGTGTGTGTGTACACAGTACACAGCCTCTTCACCATCAAGACTCCTGCTGTGCCTCCTCGTGGCAACACGCGGTAACTGGGTGCCCTGTAGGCCCAGGATAGACCAGCAGGGATCTCAGAGTAGCAGTTGTCTCCAGAAGACGGCAATGGCCCCCTGAGCAAGTTCTTGTGCCAACTAACCACTGCCTTGCGAATTAACCTTAGTAGATATAAGCCACACCTTCGCTGCCATTTTATTACTTTAAAATTAAATATCCTAGTATTGTAGCTACCCTAGCTGTGTTGAGTCGCAGATCTATGCGGCATTCGATGACTGTTGCCTCTTAGTCAATATCTTCAACTGTTGTCGGCTTTGGGGCCAATGGTCTCTTTCCCCTGAGGCAAAGCAATGCAGACCTAAGGAGAGAGAAGGACAGTCGACATCTCAACCAGGCTGTAACATAACTTCTGGGCTGCTGCTTCTGTTCAGATAACACCTCCGTGAGTCTGGTAAAACATCTTGCACTTTGTCCCATCCCACCAGAGGTTGTGAACACCAAAGGAGTGAAGCTGCCTTGATCAACATTCTGAATTCTCTTCCCATATGCCCTAATTTTGTAGTTCTCATTCCTCCTGTGTGCAGCATCAAGAGCTAGGTTACGGTGACATGCAGCCATGGAGTGTTTTGGGGCCTAGATTAATGGAAGGGGGTGGGACAACATTGGAGGAAAGGTTGATGTGCATAACCATGGTCTTGGTATGGTTGGTGGTGACATGGTTGTTGGTGGCCAATTTTGAGACAGTTCAATAAATCCTGTTGGGCGGTATAGTCGGGAGCCGAGTTGTTGACATTGATCCTAATGGTGGAGTAGTCAACATATTTCCAGCGGGCACGGGTTTCACTTCGGGCATCATTGATGAGGATAAGGAAGCAGAGCGGTCTCATCTTGGTGCCTAGGAGGACGCCACAGATGAGCGACTGAAAGGTGCAGACAGCCCCTCGAAAGCGTACAGCTTGGTGTCTGTCACTAAGGAAATCTGTAAGCCATGGTATAAGACTTCTTTGAAACCCGAGGTCGATAACTTTGTTGATGATTAAATTGTGGTTGACTAGGTCAGAAGGTTTGGTGAAGTTAATGAAGGCGACATCCACAGCAACATACGTGTGTATGTGTGTGTGTGTGTGTGTACACACTCACATAACAGTCAGTTGGTTGACTGCCTGGCTGAGCTGTGGCATCACATAGATGATGGTTTGAGTGTGGATGGAGCTATTTTTTATGCATGAAGTATGTGCTATTGTATTTTATGATATGTATCAATTTTATTGTTTATCACAGCAATTTTTGTTTAAAAAGCGGTTACAGCGCTACTGGTGTCAGACTCATGAATAAATGACTTCAGTTTCTTGATTGTTGGACTAAATTAGAATTTTTACCAAAGGCGACAATTTGGGATACCTGGAAGATTCAGACACTGTAGTTGGAATTCATATTAAAGGAATTGCACTATAAATTAAATAAAGTCTACAACAATGGATTTACCATAATAGCGGTGATGTTCTGCATACAGTGGCCGACCTGACATGAATGGGGAGGTTGTTGGGTGTTACTGGGTTAGTACCGTATGAACCAAATATTACCAGGGAGTGATGTTTATTAACTCTGGTGCCCTAGATACTTTGTGGTGTATTGTATAGTACTTTATACCCAAATTATTGGGCACCCTCCCTTCCCACGCCCATGTACTGGGTGGAGTGACCACAACAATAACAAACACCAGACTGACCAAGTGTGGGGTGCTGTGTGAGTGGTACCCACAGTCAACTGAGTGAACAGTGTCTGCTGTTGAGTACAGTATATACAGTATAGTAGAACAGTTGTATACATATTTTGTTTACAGTTTGAACAGCTCCAGTAAGTTGTATCGTTTAGACTCATGGAAAACACCTCTGTTTTTGTTGTAACACACAACTCCATTCATGGCTGTATCATATAGATCTTTTGGGTTTTAATTTATTAAACCAAACTTTTAGATAAAGTACAGTGACATCCCTGTTAGCCGGAACAATTGGTGCAGAGCACTTCCGGGGATGAGAGATTTCCGGCTAACCAGACGACTAAACTAGACATCTTGCACACACAGACACTAGCCCACTTCCCCAGAATGTTTCTGGGTGCTGGGGATATTTTCATGAGTCTAAACTACCGGAGTCTGTAAATGCAGTTCTAATTAAGTTAGAAACTCCATTTCATTATTAGAATAATCCAGAAAAGTTTATCTAAAAGTTTGGTAAAATAAATATTTTTGAAAGTTAAAATCTCTCTAGGATATAGACATGACTCAAGCTGTGTGTTACAGCAAAGACTGGTATTTTCCACTCCTACCTCAAGATGTCTTGAATAAACAAGAAACCTACAGTATTTTTAGGGAGTGTGAGAAAAGTATAAGTATAAAAGAGCACAGTTGTATCCCTTCAACATTACATAACCTAACATTTGAAAATATGGAGTGAGAAAGCAGAAAGGTGTGAGTAATTAGAGATGGAGTGGAAGGGAGTGTTGCAAAACTCCTCAACAGCTGATATTTAACTCACAGTCACACACACATTTGTCACACAATAAGACTCACCTTATGTCTGCTGTCTTAATTTTGTTAGGGATATGAGTGTGTTGGGGTGTGTGGAGGGTGTGGTGTTGGGGTGTGTGTGGAGGGGTGTGTGTGTGGTGTTGGGTGTGTGTGTGGAGGGTGTGGTGTTGGAGTGTGTGGGAGGGTGTGGTGTTGAGTGTGTGTGGGTGTGTGGTGTTGGAGTGTGTGTGGGTGTGTTGGGGTGTGTGTGTGTGGTGTTGGAGTGTGTGGAGGGTGTGGTGTTGGGGTGTGTGGAGGGTGTGGTGTTGGGTGTGTGTGTGGTTGGAGTGTGTGGAGGGTGGTGTTGGGGTGTGTGTGGGAGGGTGTGGTGTGTGTGGTGTTGGGTGTGTGTGTGGGTGGTGTTGGTGTGTGTGGAGGGTGTGTGGTGTTGGGGTGTGTGTGTGGTGTGGTGTTGAGTGTGTGTGAGGGTGTGGTGTTGGGGTGTGTGGAGGGTGGTGGTGTGTGGTGTTGAGGTGGGTGTGGTGTTGAGTGTGTGTTGTGTGTTGGGGTGTGTGGTGGTGTTGGGAGTGTGTGTTGGGTGTGGTGTTGGTGTGGAGTGGTGGTGTTGAGTGTGTGATGGGTGTGGTGTGTGTGGTGTTGGGTGTGTGTGGAGGTGGTGTGAGTGTGGTGTTGGGTGTGTGTGTGGTTGTGTGGAGGTGGTGTTGGGTGTGTGGAGGTGGTGCTGGGTGGAGTGGGGTGTGTGTGGAGGGTGTGTTGGAGTGTGTGGAGGGTGGTGTTGGGGTGTGTGTGTGGTGGTGTTGAGGTGTGGAGGGTGTGGGTTGGGGTGTGTGTGTGGTGTGGGTGTGTGAGGGTGTGTGTTGGAGTGTGTGTGTGTGGTGTTGGGGTGAGGGTGGTGTTGGAGGTGTGTGAGTGTGGTGTTGGGGTGTGTGTGGTGTGGTGGTGAGTGTGTGGAGGGTGTGGGTGTTGGGTGTGTGTGTGGTGTTGAGTGTGTGTGTGGTGTTGGGGGTGTGTGTGTGGTGTTGGGGGGTGTGTGTGTGTGTGTGTGTGAGGGTGTGATGTTGGGGTGTGTGTGTGTGTGTGAATGGGTGATGCTGGGGTGTGTGTGTGTGGAGGGTGTGATGTGTGTGTTGAGGTGTGTGTGATGGGTGTGATGTTGGGGTGTGTGTGTGTGGAGGGTGTGATGTTGGAGGTGTGTGTGGAGGGTGTGATGTTGGGGTGTGTGGAGGTGTGATGTTGGGTGTGTGTGTGTGAGTGTGTGGAGGGTGTGATGTTGGGGTGTGTGTGGAGGGTGATGTTGGGGTGTGTGTGGAGGGTGTGATGTTGTGTGTGTGTGTGTGGAGGGTGTGATGTTGGGGTGTGTGTGTGTGTGGGGTGTGTGTGTGTGGTGTGGGTTGATGTTTGGGTTGTGTGTGTGTGTTGGGGTTGTGTGTGTGGGGTTGTTGTGGTTGTGTGTGTGGGTTGATGTTGGGGTTGTGTGTGTGGAGGGTGTGATGTTGGGGTGGGTGTGTGTGTGTGGAGGGTGTGATGTTGGGGTGTGTGTGTGTGTGGAGGGTGTGTTTGGGGTGTGTGTGTGTGTGTGTGGGGTGTGATGTTGGGGTGTGTGTGTGTGTGTGTGTGTGTGTGTGTGTGTGTGTGTGTGTGTGTGTGGGTTGTTGGGGTTGTGTGTGTGTGGGTTGGATGTTGGGGTGTGTGTGTGTGTGTGTGTGTGTGTGTGTGTGTGTGTGTGTGTGTGTGTGTGGGAGGGGTGTGATGTTGGGGTGTGTGTGTGTTGGGTGTTGTGTGTGTGTGTGTGGGTTGATGTTGGGTGTGTGTGTGTGTGTGTGTGTGTGTGTGTGTGTGTGTGTGTGTGTGTGTGGTGTAGGGGTGTGTTGGTGTGTGTGTGTGTGTGTGTGTGTGTGTGTGTGTGTGTGTGTGTGTTGGGGTGTGTGTGTGTGTGGGGTGTGTTGGGGTGTGTGTGTGTGTGTGTGTGTGTGTGTGTGTGTGTGGGTTGGGTGTGTGGAGGGTGTGATGTTGGGGTGTGTGTGTGTGTGTGTGTGTGTGTGTGTGTGTGTGGGGTTGTTGATGTTGGGGTGTGTGGAGGGTTGTTGGGGTGTGTGTGTGTGTGTGGAGGTGTGATGTTTGGGGTGTGTGTGTGTGTGGAGGTGTGTTGGGGTGTGTGTGTGTTGGTGTGTGTGTGTGTGTGTGTGTGTGTGTGTGTGTGTGTGTGTGTGTGTGTGTGTTGGGGTGTGTGTGTGTGTGTGTGGGGTGTGATGTTGGTGTGTGTGTGGGTGTGTTGGTGTGTGTGTGTGTGTGTGTGTGTGTGTGTGTGTGTGTGTGTGTGTGTGTGTGTGTGGGGTTGTGGGGTTGTGTTGGTGTGTGTGTGTGTGTGTGGGGGTGTGGAGGTGTGTGTTGGGGTGTGTGTGGAGGGTGTGATGTTGAGGTGTGTGTGGAGGTGTGATGTTGGGGTGTGTGTGGAGGGTTGGGGTGGGTGTGTGTGTGTGTGGGGTGTGTGTGTGTGTGTGGAGGGTGTGGTGTTGGGGTGTGTGTGTGTGTGTGGGGTGTGTTGTGGTGTGTGTGTGTGGAGGTGTGTTGGGGTGTGTGTGTGTGTTGTTGGGGTGTGTGTGTGTGTGGGTGTGTGGGGTGTGTGTGTGGAGGGTGTGATGTTGGGTGTGTGTGTGTGTGGAGGGTGGTTTGGGGTGTGTGTGTGTGTGTGTGTGGAGGTGTGATGTTGGGGTGTGTGGAGGTGTGATGTTGAGGTGTGTGTGTGGAGGTGTGATGTTGGGGTGTGTGTGTGTGTGTGTGGGAGGTGTGTGGGGTGTGTGTGTGTGGGAGGGTGTGTTGGGGGTGTGTGTGTGTGTGTGTGTGTGTGTGTGTGTGTGTGTGTGTGGGTTGGGTGTGTTGGGGTGTGTGTGTGTGTGGGTGTGTTGGGGTGTGTGTGTGTGTGTGTGGGGTGTGATGTTGTGTGTGTGTGTGTGTGTGTGTGTGTGTGTGTGTGTGGAGGTGTGATGTTGGTGTGTGTGTGTGGAGGTGTGTGTTGGGTGTGTGTGTGGAGGTGTGATGTTGGGGTGTGTGTGTGTGGAGGGTGTGATGTTTGGGGTGTGTGTGTGTGTGGGAGGTGTGATGTTGGGGTGGGTGTGTGTGTGGGTGTGGTGTTGGGGTGTGTGTGTGTGTGTGGAGGTGTGATGTTGGGGGTGTGTGTGTGGAGGGGTGTGGTGTTGGGGTGTGTGTGTGTGTGGGTGTGTGGAGGGTGTGGTGTTGGGGTGTGTGTGTGTGTGGGGTGTGATGTTGGGGTGTGTGTGTGTGGAGGGTGTGATGTTTGGGTGTGTGTGTGTGGAGGTGTGATGTTGGGGTGTGTGTGGAGGTGTGTGTTGGGGTGGG